ATATAATTAATATATTATAAAGAAAGATATCGTTATGTTTACTCCATGTCATTAAAATTATCAACATAAAAAAACTTTAGTTTTAAATAAGAATTGCAAATATTGAAATTATAATTGATATAATTAATATAAGTTTAAATTATATTAATATAATTAATATATTTAAAATAAAAATAATATATATAATATTTGGGATGGGGCGGGACATCCCGATGGTAATCCTGTGTCCTGTTCGGTCTCAAATTTTTTTTTATCCTGTCTCGTAAAGCCTCGTCCCAATTATTTTCGGGTCAAGACAAGACCTGTCTCGATATGATTAGGACGAAATCAGGTCAATTGAGATGGGTTCAAGTCGAACGCTCCTAATTTTTTATATTCTCTTTTGTTTTTCAGAACAAAAATAAGAGAACACCTAAAAGATATTTTTATTTTTTCTATTCTCTAAAATAATATTTAATTTTTTGTTCTCCAAAACACTTTCTAAAAACATATTACCAAACAATTTTTTTATTTTTTATTTTGAAAAAAAAAATTGTTCACAAATATGTTACCAAATAAGCCCATAATGACTCTAAATATTTTCTCTTCCTCTTTTAAAAAATTACAATTGCCCCCATCTTTCAAAACAAAAAATTCATTCATTCCCTTAAAAAGTTTGACTCATCCTCGTCAAAAGTTTGTTTAACTAAAATATTATATATATATATATATATATATTGTTATAATATTAAACTTTAATAGTTTAAGAATAGAGAAAGTAGTCATTTCAAAAATAAAATTTTAAATTGTTTCCCTACTCTATAACAGAAATAAATAAATTAAAATTAATAAAAATAAAACTCACATGCCTGGCTATTTAGTATTTAATTTCAGTAAATGTTTTCCTCTAATATAATTTTATAAATATTTGGAATTATTTTTAGAAAAATGATTAATATTTAACTTGAGTAAATATTTTGCCAGGGCGGTCGCTGGTTGGAAATTAATTACGAAAAAAAACATTGGATCAAGTCAATAAAGTTTAACAGTTTAACATTTTTAAATGAAGAAAATAAAGGTTAATGAATATTTTAAACTTTAAATTATTACGCGAATAATATTTTAGATTTTAAATTTCTTTAAATATGTAAAAACTCTCCTCAATTTTTAAATTTTAAATGCCTAAAACATTGCTGTTAAATCAAAAAAAATGATAGTTACTCTTATATTTGTGGAGTCCAGTCAAATGTTAATATAATACTCATTTTAACTCTTAAAAATAACAGCCATCTTCTTTAACTTGACAATAAAATTTTAGATGTTTGAAATTTAAAAATTACAAAGAGTTTTTATATATATTTCAAAAGCTTAATATTTTGGATGCTATTTGCACAATTTATCATGACACGATGTGTAACGCTGAGATTCGTAGTCCCAGGTTCCGCCAAATTTCTCTTCGCTTTAGGGTGCGTTTGGTAAACTTACTTTTCACATTCCAAATGTGAATTTTAACTTTTGAGATGTGGGATGTTGTTTGGAATATATTTTTGAGATAAAATGTGCTTTTTAAAAGGGCTTTTAAATGGGTATGAAACTGAAAAAATAAAAAGCAACTTTTGGGAGCTTTTCAAACGCAGATGAGAAATATTGAGCATTAATGATTGGTACCTAATATTGCAAAAGACCATGATGCCCTCATCTTCTCCTTCTTCACGTGCACCGACAGTGGCCTCACTTTCATTCTGCATATTCTCTCGCTCGCTCGTCCCTTTCTCACTGGTCTCTCGTCCGTCGCTCTGTCGCTGCTCCTCCTTCTCTCCTCCGTCTCTCCTCCGCCATCTAGTCACAGATCCCGAGCTCCTTATCTCCAGCGTCTAGGCACCAGCGGCGGCCCTCTCATAAGTTGCCTCTACTTCCTCCACAGCGGCAAACGCGTCTGGCTCTCCAGCTGGCTCAAAACCGGCGGATTCCTTGTCTGCCTCCTTCCCCTATTCATCTCTTTCATTCGCAGCCGCCTCTCCCGACAAGCCAAGCCCTTCATCTTCATCGACACGAGCTTGTTCCTTTCAGCCTTCGTCATCAGTGTTCTGTCTAGCCTCGATGATTACCTCTATGCTTGTAGCTCAGCTCGCCTCCCCATCTCCACGTCTGCTCTAATCATCGCCACCCAGCTAGCTTTCACCGCCGCCTTTGCCTTCCTTCTCGTCAGGAAAAAGTTCACCCTTTTCTCCATAAATGCTGTCGTCTTGCTCATTACTGGAGCTGGTATGCTGGCTCTTCATTCATCTGGAGATCGCCCCTGAGGCGAGTCCACCAAGCAATACGTGCTGGGGTTCGTGTTAACGTCGGCGGCGGCGGCCTTGTATGGTTTTTTATTGCCTTTGATAGAGCTTATGTACGGCAAGAGCAAGCAAAGAGTGACTATTGCTAATATATTAAATTTCATAACATAATTTTTTTCAAAATTAAATTTTATATTTTTTCTTATTGTTTAACATTTTAAATTTTATGTTATTTTAAATTTGTTTCACATTTTTAAACATTGCTAATATATTATATTTATATAATAAAAATTATAAATTATCATAAATTAATGTCCTTTTTGGTCATTTTATATTAAAAAGTACATTTTAAAAGAATAAATTTTTATTAATCCAAACAACTTTCAGTTTGTCAAACTGACTTTTGAAAAAAAATATCCAAACAAAAATTTCATTACAACAACTGACTTTCACTCAACTGATTTTTGTCAAATAAACTTTCATCAAACTGACTTTTGACAAACTGAAAACCAAACACACACTTAGTCATACTCAATCCAATCCATTCGCTCCAATTTTTTTGATCTTAAAAAAAATACTAATAAAATAAATTAAATATAATTTAAAATCTTAATTTCTTAAAAAATATAAAATATTTTAAAATATTTTTCAGTAATGAACCACTATTATGAAAATATTTAAATAAAATAATAGGATAATATGTAAGACATGAATGTGTGTCCCCAGGAGAGGGCCTGAAGCCAAGTTATAAGCCGAGGACTAAATACTTTTTTTATTTATTTATTGTGCTTTTTTTTTATTCTCAGATCAGTGTTTTTTAAAGTTCAATTTATTGTGGCATGTAAAAGGATAAATACTTCCATTTTTAATCTATATTTTTAACTATGTACGCAACTTCTCATACGTACTCATTTATTGTGTGCTCTAAATTTTACAACATACTCCCTCTATTTAAAAATATAAAATATTTTTAATCTTTTGATGTGTAATCATTATTATTTTAAAAATATCTCTATTAATAATGACTTTATATTTACTGTAGGATGTTTAATAGGGGTAAATATAAAAAGATAGGATTAATTAAAAAATAAATAACTAATTATTGAGAGATAAGATTCGATTAAAAATATTTTATATTTTTTAAGGAAAGAAGTATGTTATATATATGCAAAAATCATTTTTTTTCCCTTTAATGACACGTGCTTATTAATGCTATTGCCTCCTAGCCAAAGTTGACGGGTATGTTTATTGTTTAGCATTGGACAACAGAGTCGGTCCAAAAAAGAAACCATGGAAATCAACGCCTGCTGTAGCTAGCATATAAGATAAGATCCTCTAACGTAATCACTTTTGTCCATGCCTCAAAACAGATAAACAAACACAACGATAAAAGTAACGGCATCATTCGATAACCTATGAAGTAGCTATAAATATTCCACAATCCATATCGCCGTCAAACTTGACAACAACAAATTAAAATATAAAGTTAAGGTTTAAATTTATTCATATATTTATTTTTTAAAAACATTGAGCACTATATATTTTTAAATGAAATAATTTTATTTTTAAATTATTTTTTAAAAGAAATTTTTTTTTGTTAATTAACTATTAATTTTTTCATTTTCTGTTGATGTGGCATGTGCCTTAAACTCACGTATAGTGACATTCAATGGCAAACACAAGATCCTGAATGGGGGCATAAATTATATAAAATGTAAAAATAATTAAGAAAAAAAATTTAATATATAGAATAAATATTTACATACTTTACAAGTTTTCTCTATGTGGCTTCATGTTTTGAAACTGTTGAATGATCAGCTTATTATCAATACTATTAAATTATAGGTTTTTCATTCGATTATGCAACCGATTTTTCACAAGCTTAACAAAAAAAAACTCTTTTTACAATTATTGTGACAACAGGCAATATCATTGCTACCTTTAATTATTTTCTCACACTTAACCTCATTCTCACACCATTCACTCTGTTTCTTGTCTCAAATTCTATTTTCTAGCAAAGAGTCTCTCTATCTTCCTGTCTTTTAGTCTTATTTTAGTTTTTGTATGTTTTAAAATTTCAGATTTTATTTTTATTAAGGTTATTTATTATTTAGTTTGACTTTAGATTTGTAAAATATTAAAAATAAAAATAAAAATAAAAATTATATTCCTATAAAAGTAATCTAAATTTAAATATAATAAATTAAAAATTAAAAATTATTAGGCTTAAGTGAAATATGAAAGACCTAAATATTTTTGAACTGAAATACATTTTAGTTTGGGTTTAATGGGTTTAAAATCATAGGAACAATGGGGGTAAATTTTTAAAACCCCTACCTCTCTTTGTAATTTTCCCAACAATTGCCCCCCTCAACAATATGTAGGTCCGTCACTGGTGACATGACTATATCTTTTGGTATTAATTTATCCTTAAATTATTTTTTTGTAAGCATTAAACACCTTAAAGTATTTTTCTCGGAGCGCTATGCATCCTGAAGTCTTGTTAAAATAAAATTTAATAAATATTATTAAAATATTAAGTATTTTAATATTTAATGTTTTAAATATTACTATTTGAAACATTACACTACCTGATTTAATAATAATATTTAAATTATTAAATATTAAAATACTTAATACTTTAACAATATTTATTTAATTTTATTTTAAAAGGTCCAACTCTCCAAGAAAAAAATTTTAAAGTGCTTAACGCTCCTAAAAAAAAGAATTCAGAGGTAAATTAACATAAAAGGACATGCTACATCTTACATATTACTATGCATGGGCTCCACGTACATGCCAAATCAGCTGAAAACGGAAAAATTAACGGCTGATTAATGAAAGAGAGTTTTTGCTCCTCTGAAAAATAGTTCAAGAGTAAAATTATCCCACATAAGAATATAAAATGTCCAGTACTCTTAAAAAATAAATACAAGAGCAAATTTAAACCTTAACTTAAAAATATATAAAGCTACGTCACGGTTCAATGGGTATGGGATCCAGAAGGAGTTGGTCTACATAATGTTTGAGGGACTCGCCATTAGTGAATCTGTCTCGCAGGTTTTCATAGGCAACTTCAGACACTCGAGCAAAATTGACAGCAATATCAAGCACAGATTTTGGGACGTCATGTGGATTATTCAAACACTCTTCATTAATATCCTTCCAGCAATTTCTGACGTCATTGCTGAGAATTTTATAAGCCTCTTCTTCTGAAACTCCAAACTGCTTCATGCAACACTCCACTCCTGAAGCAACATGCTCTCTCTCCTGCTCAAACTACACACACACACACATTATATATCCATGCAAAACCATAAAACTTCTCGCATCGTCTCTACCAATTAATATAATAATACTCTAAAATGTAAGGATATATAGAACCAACAGTTTCGTTTTCTTGTTTCATTAGAAACATCAAAATTGATTATATTTAGGTTACGTTGAATTCATGTGCATGCAAGGTGTCTTAAGCTGTACCTTATGAGAGGCCATATCATCCATGAGTCTGCCGATAATTGAGCTAGCCCTAACAATTGTCAGATCGGTGGCAATCCATTCAAGAACCTCTTTCGTTGCAAGGTTTCCAAGGACCAGGAATGAAGTTATCTGAAGTGGGTAAGTAGAAGACACAACTCCGTTATCCTTGTACTCCTCATATCTTGGAATGTAGCCTTCATAGCACCATCTTGCTTCCATCAAGTACGCCTTAGCCAAGTTGAAAAACTACAAACAGAATATATGTAAGTAGCAAAGTTAAACTCGAATGAAGTATCATTTGAAATTATAAGTTATATTATAAAGTATCGCCTTTACAGCTTGTTTCACATGCGGCATCACAAGATTTGACGTTCCTTGTTTTGCAGTCACCGTCTCCATTTCATTGCACACCTCCACTACTGCTTCAAACACCACTTTCATGCACTCTGGAAGAGATTTAATAGGACTTACGTCCCATCTGGATAATCAGATAAAACGAGGAATTAATTTAAGTCGTAAAATTCGTGATTTCAGTGACAGGATTGGTAATATAATGGCCCCAGCTACGTATAATCTGTGATTAAACATTAAACCTGTGAATGGCCTCGGTGAAGAGCTCGAGTTCTTCAAGGGTGCCATAGGCGTCATAGGTATCATCAAGAAGACAGATAATAGCAACCATTTTGCCGGTTATCATTCTTGCAGTGCTGAATTGAGGCTCATAGGACATGGCTAATGGCCAAAAGAAGGACTCCACCAACCTATCTCTAGCATAAGGCACCTTTCTTGTCAACTCTGATTCTTTCCACCACCTGTGTAATTCAAATAAAAAAGAGCTTTTACTGTTAATTATATTTATCCTGTGGGTCGACATTAATATACTATTTAAGATTATAGCGCTTCTCACTTGGTGATATTGCCAAGTTCTTTCTGATGCAGTTTCTGCAGCATATTGAAATCTAACTTTGCAAAGTTGAGCAGCATTAAGTAATTTTGGGAAGGATCTTGCTGCTGGTAGACTAAAGACATGTAATGCCTTGCTTCTATCCTACTCAATCTCTTGTGAAGAGGCTGACTTAAGCGGTGGCTGTCTTGTGCATTGAGACAAGGGCTCAGTTGGGTGTCATCAGTCAAGGATTTAAGGCGAGTGTAAGTGAAATGAAGAGCTTCATCAAGTATGTTTTCTCCGTGAACCTCTAATTGTGCAGCTTCATACAAGGCTAACATTCCTCTCACATCCTTGCTAACATTTTCGTTGTTAAACTCGCCCTTGTCGTCTTTGAATCTCTCAAATACATCTGTTTCATATACACACGAATTAGTGTAAGCTCTTGAGAAGAGAAAAGCTCTTGATCTGATATTAGACAAGGCAAAATAATATTGACGAGCGAATTAAATTTGAATAACATATACCAGATGATGAAATGGGATATCCATGTTGCCTCAGCAATCGAAAGAGTAAAGCAAGAGAGTGAAGATTATCATCCCCATCCCGATGCGTGATAAGGCTGTTATTTCTGGTATAAATGCTGTGAAGCTTTGCCAATGCGTCTTCAATTTCATGTTCGAAATGGTAAGAGACTCCCAAACGTTGGACCAAGTCAATGAAGTTTAGCATTTGTAGACGACTCTGATGGTTGGAAGATATGAACATCTTTATTTTCTCTTTATTCACTTTATGTTCCACCTTGTCATCAACTTCCTGAAAAATCAAATCACAAACACACATGTAATCCTCACACGCCACAATCTGGTTTAATTCAATGAACACTGAACAGACAGTAATTAATTAATTTTAAGACATGTTCAATTCCAAAAAAAAAAAACAAAATAAATAAATAAACTAGCCAGGTATTCGATCATTAGGTTGCATATGCATATAATGGTGTGTGTATGTGTATATTAAATACCACAGATTTTGAAGCAAATTGAAGAAACTCGTTTCCCCAGATGGTAGGAGCATAGTTGACACATCTTCTCGTGTTGTCATGATGAGATGCCGCAACAGACATGGCTTCGTATTTTGAAATGTGGCTTTGATAGAAATTAAGAGCTTGATATGTATTCAATTCATTTATATAGAGGATTTCATTCATTGAATCCACTTTCGGACTTTCCTTTGGGGTTAGGTAAGCGTGAGTATTAGACCGCTGTACATACAAAAGAAGTCGTTTCTATTTTTTCATTGAAACTTTGTTTTTATTTGTTTATAGGATGAGATATTTGAGTAGTTTTTAATATATTTTAATAACGAATATATAGAGAGAGAGAGAGATTAAAAATTTTCGCAAGATAATGTGAAAGCAATGATAAATGTAAGCGTATTAACTTAATAACTAAAGATGATTTGATGTTCCATTGCGCGCGCGCGCGCGCGTGTGCGGGTTAACGATTCAATTTCATAAGCAGCTCATTATATCAACCCATGGCTAAAGGAAAGAAAAATTGGACCGTTCAAGTTGTACGTTGTTGCATTATTAGACGTTTTTCTTAGTGGGCCAATCAACACATGTAATATCTATCAATATTTTATCATTTTCATTCAATATATATATATATATATATATTTATTTTATAATTCAAAGAAAACATGTCTTTGCATTTTGTTAGGATTTGGTATAAATCTTTATACTTTTTTTTGGTATTTCAAATCTCTACACTTTTTTTCATCTGCAGTATTCATCCTTTCATTTTCAGAGAAATGTTAACATAGTAGAAATAGTGTTAATAATACTAACATGTCAATTAAAACTATTAAATTTGTGCTTATGTGTCAAAATGATGTTAACATGATTTTTAATAAGTAAACATTTAAAAAAAAAGATTACATCAAATGAAATAAAAAAGTTGACCTAGACTTTTTTGTACCTTAGAAAATGAAGAACCAAGTCTTTTTTTCAATTTGTGTATTTTGCTGATCGTTTAAAAATTTAGATAAGCTTTTTATTTCATTTGGCGTAAACTTTTTTTTGTTTAATTTTGCTTATTAAAAAATTTATGTCAGCATCAACTTGGCACATAGGTACAAAATTAATGGCATTAATTGACATGTATCAGCATTATTAGTACCATTTGTTCCATGTTAATGTCTTTATTAAAAATATAAAAACTTATAACATCAAAAAAAAAATAGAAATATATATTAAAATTCGAGCAAAATACAGGGATTGTTTTTTCAATAACTCATAGTAGATAATTTTATTTAAGAACTGTGAATACTAAATATTATTGAAATTCTATAAAAAAGCACGAGGTTCGTGGACAAAATTTTTGAGTAGACAAGGATGACTTCATGGTACGAGCCGTTGTCATCGCCGCCAAGCTTTGCTAATCCCTCGGCGTTGCTGCGTTGACTTGACCATGCAAAATATTTCTGACCTAATTTTCAATTTTCTTACCTAAGAAATTAAATCATAAATAATTGAATCTTCGAACAATTTGGAATTATTTTCGTGTATCTTTCTTGAAGATAGAAGATAGACCATTTATAAACAAAAAAAGATGGAGGATATTTACCATATGAATTTATCATGTAGGTACGTGAAATACTTTATAACTATCTTTCAGCTAGTCTAACTTTCCTCGTCATTTAGTCTAAAATGCAATTTTTTTTATTATAAGAAACAAAGATACAAGAAAAGAAACCTAATTAAGAGAAACAAGATCAACAAATCTGGAAGACTAAGCACTTAGAAAAGACCTATTCCAAGCATCTAAAGCTGAAGAAGGTAAAAGTTCAAAGAAAACATTACTAAAATAATACAGAAGATTATTAATATCATGAGCCATAATTTTTAGAGCAGCATCCTTGTCAGCAGATTGTATGAAAAATTTAGTTTGTCTTTTCTTAATAAAAACCATTGTAATATTAGAGAATCCAGGAGCTCCAAATTCTCCCAAGTCAGTGATCCATTTAATGTAGTTCTTGATAGTCTCCATAAGACATATTATTTGCAACTTCAGCAGGTTGTCATCTCTTCGCTTAATGACCAATTGAAAATCATGAAAGATTATAACTTGAGCATAGCAAGATATCTGTCTGGTTCTACTCTTAATTCTCTGGATGCCTACAAACAAAAACCATCCTTTTCTGGCTTTTGCATGTGATATTTCTCATTCCTTCTTCGTTTCTTGAACTGCATTAGAATGAGATATCTGCATTGAAAAGGCCAACTCACAAGTTGATAACAGCCATCGAATTTTATGGATTATCTGTGTAGGATTACAGCTTTTTGTTCTGGTGTTTCATCAGATTTCTACTATCCCAGAAAACTGCAAAGTTATAAAAATCATCTTGACCACCTGAATCCAGTCTTTGCAAGAAATCGCTTTATGACACCAGTATAAAATGAACTCTGTGCAGTCATGAATCACATCAGTTCTAAGAGCAAGATCAAGACCAAACCAAATAGCCCGAGCACAATGACAATGGAGAAAAACATGATTAAGAGACTCCCCTTCTTCATTGCAGAAAGAACAAATTCCAGAGCTGTTGATAGGATGTTCCATCAAGATATCTGAAGTAGGCAAAGCATGGTTTAGAATTTTCCAGCCCAGAAGAATAGTTCTCTGAGGAAGCTGCAATTTCCATATAAAATTCCAAACCAAATAGCTATGGTTGATATCCCCAGAAGCATCATTGATCATTTGAAATCCTTTTTTGACTTTGTATTCTCCGGAGGTACTGCCTATCCAAATTAATCGATCTTCCTCATCAAAAATGGAAAAAGGAGTAAAAAGGATCTCCCGTGCATGCTGTGGGTTATGGCAAGAATTAATAAGCTGCACATTCCGATTACAACTATCATGCAACCTAAGGTCTGACACCTTCAAGTTTAAGCATTTTTTGTCTTCATGAATCGGGAACCACTTAATATGATCAAAGGGAATGGACTTCCCTAAGCCAACCTGCCATTTCAGGTTGCTAGACACGACAGGAGAAGCTTTGACCACATCCTTCATCATCCAAGAGAAAGTCGGTTTAAGTTCTTTTTCCCCTTTTATCAGAGTTTCTAAATATTTCCTTCTGAGGGTTAAACCAATCAGAGAAGAATCATTTGCTGATATTATCCTCTATGATTGTTTAGCAAGAAGTGCCAAGTTGAAATTATAAAAAGATCTAAATCTCAAGCCTCCCTCCTTCTTGTTCTTGCAAAGTTTTTTCCAGGCTTTCAAATGTAGCTTTCTTTTATCATTTTCAGCAACACCCCAGAAAAAATCAGCACATTTTGGATCAAGCTTACCCGCAATTTTCTTTGTTAGAAGAAAGCAAGACAATTGATAAATGCATGTAGAAGACACAACTGATTTGATTAAGGTCATTCTACCAGCTTGGGATAACAGCTGAGACTTCCATAAACTAAGTTTTCGGTCAAAAGCATTGATAGGAAAATGATATATAGAATTCTTCCCAGAGGCAGCATCAACAAGTATTCCCAAGTATTTCTCAATACTATCTGAACATCTCACTCCCAGAGCATCTATAATTTCCTCTTTTAGCGTAGGGGGAGTATTTGGACTCAATATAAGCTCGAATTTTGAAAAATTTATTTCCTAGCCTGAATGATGATAGAAAATATTCAGAACCTCCTTAACAACTTGAGTGTTACTTTTATTTCCTTGAAAGAAGAGTATTGTGTCATCTGCATATGCCAAATGTGACACTGGATCTGCCTTTCTAGAAATCTTGATGCCCTTCCAAGAACCAATTCTTTCCTTCTCCACTATCATACAAGACAGAACATTTGAACATAATATGAACAAGTAGGGAGATAATGGATCACCCTGCCTTATTCCTCTGAAAGGCTTGAAGCTTGCTGTCAAACTCCCATTCACCAAGATCTAATAAGAGACTATAGATAAGCATTGAGAAATCATCATAATCCAATCACAAGGAAAGTTCATGATAAGCATAATTTGTTGTAGGAAATTCCAATCAACTCTATCAAATGCTTTGAAAAAATCAATTTTGAGTGCAACCCAGCAAGTTTGAGTTCTCCTTATTTTCTTCAAATAGTGAATGATTTCGACTGTCAAGAGGATGTTATCTGAGATGAGCCTCCCTTTGATAAATGCACTTTGATGTAGAAGAATCAAATCCGGGAGAATAAGCCTTAATCTGTTAGCAAGTACTAGTCTAAAATGCATTAATACAAGGAGGTCATTGCAATCATGTTTAATGAATTCATCCAAATGAGGATTTGAACTTTGATTTGTCACATTATGAGAGATTAGTTCCCTCCACCAATCCTTTTAATACATCTGCCTTTTTATAGTTTGCTTAAAACTTACAATTATATAAAATTTTCATTTATTTTGAAACTTATATTTTAATCTAATGTTTAACGTTGTTAAAAATGTTCCGATGAAACTTGAAAAATACTATTCGATTAATTGAAATTGATGTTAAAAATGCTGCAAACGATTAGCTCGCCCCAATAATCAAATTGTCTACTCCCTTCTTCCTTTCCTCTCTCTTCAATTTTAAAAATCATAAATAATTAAGCATAATAATATTTCAATAAATATTTTAAAAATATATTAAAATTAAAAAATTAAAGTAAATAAAATATAAATTATAGTGAACAATTTATTTCTCATATATTAAATTCTTAATTCAGTCACCTGAGGCCAGCCTAAGTGACAAAGGCAAGGTGGAACGAGATATCCTAATCATTATAAAGTTTCTGTTTACGTGTTTTAAAAGATTTTTCTAGCATGTATTAAAAAAAAAAAAAAGATTTTTAGCCCAAATGTGCTTAAGGCTAGAAAAATTAATAATCTTGATTTTGTGAAAGATTGCGTTGGTTTTAAAAAATAAGAAACATTTTTATAATTAAATAAACTATAAAATAGAGGCCAGTATATTTTACTCCAAATAATTAAAACATGGCAAATTTGCAAAAACCTCACAGGTGTTCAGTGAGGAGACATTGAAAGGGGCCGACGAAAAGCCCACCAGCTCCAAAGTCCAAACCCAATCCGATGGACATCTCTCTCTTCTTTTGTCCACATCTAACC